ACAAGAGAATGGTGAGCAAGAAGCCACAGCCAGGCCATGAGGTGAGGACGTGACAGCAGCACCTGGGCCACTTCTGCACAAGCTTCCATTCACACCCCTAATTCAGGAGCCTGCCAGCGCCCTCCTCTACTCCAACCCCCCTCTGCCACTGACCCCCAACAATGGCCACACTCAGCTCTCCTTTCCTTTCAGCACTCGGCAGCCCAAGACCCCTAATGCCGGGCTGAGTTGCCAGCACAGGGACGTGAGCATGTCACACACACGTGTCCAGCTGGGCATTGACTGGCATCCTCCTGGGACCACGCAACCGGTTCTGGGCCAGCGGTGTGCAGCTTCCTGCTGTGGGGTGCCTTGCCACGGAACCCACTTGCCTGCCTCTCTTGCAGCCGGGAGTGACGGGGAGGGCCAGGGATCGATGCGGAAGGAGCAGGACACAGACACACCGGAGGGGCGGCGACCCCAGGCAGGCCCCCACGCTGGAGCCGATGTTCTGTGAGCCACAGGACGGCACACCCATCCAGCCTCCGGTCAGGGAGCCCCGCTGCAGTGCAGGCTGAGCGCAGCCTCCACGATGCCGCTCTGGCCGCTCCGGGCTGCGTGGGAGGACGGCCGCAGGCTCTCCTGGCCCCTCCTGAGGAGCCCATGGCGTGCTTCCCTCCTCAGCGCCTAAATGGACAGTTGGGCCCAGACCGAGGAGTTCTGGCTACACTCCCAGACTGGCTTCCCAGTGCCCCTTTCTGGGTGATGAGTCTGCAAAACAGCCCTGTCCCCAGAGGTGCGTCTACATGAAACGGCATGAGACAGGCGCCCACATCGCCATCAGACACAGCCCAGTGGCCAGTGCGGCCCACTCTGAGAAGGGCCTCGTCAACCACAGAGCCGGCCAGAGACCACACAGGAGCTCGGGGGGAACCAGGCCAGCTCTGGGAAACCCCCTGCACCGCTGGCCCTCACCGAATACAGCTGTGGAGAAACCTTGGCACCACGTGCAGGACAAGTGCGGCGGGAGCACTGGCCTGGACTGACGGGGCCTCCGTGCCCAGCACGGCTTCGGGAGGGGCCTGACCTCTGCTCTGTTGGTCCGTGGTCCCCTGCGCTCAGCACGACTGATCCCTCGCCTCCACAGCCCCACCAGCACTGGAGGCTCCCAGGGCCCAGGCCCATCCAGGGCCCAGGGCAGAGGCCCATCTGACGCAGTCGGAGGCCCAGGCTCTCTGGGGAGGGCGTTTCTGCACCCGGGGAGCAGGCGGTAAGCATGTAGGGGCCTCGTCCCCCACTACGTCCCCCGCGTCTAACCCAGCAAACACTGTGTACCAGGCGCCGCCCTACACATGAGGCTGCAGGGCAGAGCCACGCCCAGATGGGCAGGAGAAGAGGGGCCGATGTTAGTTCTGCCAATTAAGAAGAGCATTTGTGAGTCGGTTCTGAGCACACCTGCACATTCTCGTACCGTACTCAACTCACATGACCTACCAGGGACCCAAGGAAGGCATGGAGGAGGCCAGGCCAGGGGCTTCCCCTCATCCCCGGAGCAGAGTCACGGGGCAGCAGTGGGGACCGTGCGGCCAGGGGGCAATCACTAAGGTCACGGGGTTGAGGCTCCCTTCGTGTGCTGCCTCCAGGCCCCAGGCGCGTCCACACGAGTGTCAAGGGGGACACAGCCAATGTAAACTGATAGATGTGTTTCCTTCTTAAATTGTATGGACTACATTCTCCTTAATTTACACAGTAAGAAATTACTTACAGCTTTACTTTAAAAAGGCTCCTGAGGTAAAAAAAAAAAAAAAAAATGAGGTGTAAGGAGCTAATAAAGAGGAATTGCAAAGCTGCCCTCACCTCCATGGGAGCACACGGCGCGGCCCACCCACATGCTGGATGCAGCCACATGGGGGCTGTTCTCTCAGCACACCCGCTGCCTGCTCACCCGCAAGCCCCCAAAACCAGTCTCCCCACATTGGCCTTCTGCACGCACAGGGCAGGGCCCGGGCAGCTGCCCCCAGTGCGGCTTTGTGCAGAGGCCACCCGCAGGGCGCAGGCAGGACGGGCGCCTCAGCAGGGCACATCACTCGCTCCCGGAACCCCTTCCCTTCTCTTCTTTGGCCCAGCTGTGCCTTCTCTCCCCTGACTCTAAGCCCCACTAGCTCCGAGGTCACCCCGCCCTTCTGTGCTCCCTCCGTGCTCAGGGACCAGTAGTGCCTCGCAGCCAGGCCCAGACTCCTCAGGGTCCCGACCGGAGGACTGTGAGCCCCGCGGACACGCCTCCACCACCCAGCCTCCACTCACACTGACGAGGCAGCTCGGTGCACGGAGGACCCCCGGCCCTGGCTGGCAGTCCTCCCCTGCGCAGCACAGCCCTTGAGTAGCGGCTGATGACCCCGCCCAGAGCTCCCACATCCCTAGAGAGGCACAGGGTCCCCAGCAGCTCCACCGGACACGCCCAAACTTGATCAGCAAGTGCGCAGAGCTGCCAGAAGGGGTGCCAGGCCTGGCTGCCCCCACCCTGCCACTCAATTCACATGACCTGCTGAGGACCCAAGAAGCCCTTGCCTTCTGGAGCCATTTCCTTGACTGCAGAAAGGAAGGGGCCATCTCCACCTGCATCCCAGGGCCTCATGACAGCCAGCACCAGGCCGCAGATGGACACACATGGGGTACACAGTTATGTGCACATATGGCACAGAGACGTGCAGGAGTGCACACACACAGGCGCACACACAGCCTGCCTTTTTCTCATCACCTTTGTTACCTGACTTGAATAATGACAAAAGCCCAGAGTATTGGTCACCTAGAGATTCTGAATAAGCCAGAAAAACAAGGAACCCCCGTTTTGTCCTGAGGAGACAGACCATTTGCTCCGTCTCAGGCTTCCGTCCACAGAAGGGGCTGAGATGAGAGGCCACAGCTGGTTTGTGGCTGAAAAAGCAGAGCTATGCCCACGGCTGCGGCATCCACAGCCGACCCGACCTGCCAAGGCTGCCCTCCCGCCCACCGCCCCACCCCAACGCGGCCCTCAGACCCCCTTCCGCGGGAGCCTCCCCAGGGCCCGGGTGCCAGCTGCTGTCCATCCCGCTCTGTCGCCACCCGCACAGAAGCACATGGGGGCATCCTGGACACAGAGGCAGCACCAGCTTTAGGCACGCAGGGTTGGCCCAGATCCTCGGCGCCTCTGCAGCAGGGAGCCAGACGGGGGGCATCTATCTCGGCCACTCCCGGGCCGGGGACCCTCGCGTCCCCGTCTGAGTAAGGCCACTGCAGCACCAGCTCTACGCATTCTATCTCGTTCTGGAAAACATGTACATGAGTGCCCGATACCGGCAGGCAACAGGCAGTGGCTCAGCTTCCTGTGTGTCTGGGGTGATGCCACACTATGTTCTATGCAAAACCAGGGACACAGGAGGGTGCAGAGCAATCCCACACAGGGCGTGCCCGGCACTCTGGGACATGTGGGGTGTGAATGGACACGGGCTCACGGCCTCTGGACGGGACGTGCGGCAGCCCATCCTGGCCCGGGACCCCCATCACCCTCCTGCTTGCGCATGTTCGTCAGGCAGCCCTGGCCGGTCCACCTGGTTTGCGGCCTCTGCACAGGCTCGTCCATGTCCCAGGGCGTCCTGGCCACTGCGGCTGCTCAGGAAGGCAGTGAGAGACCTGGACGGGTTTTCTATGTTTGTGACAAGATAGCATGCGGTGGATCAAGACGCCCAGGTCGCCCCGGGTCGGGGGCTGGCCCGCACGGAGCTCCGCTCCAGAGATGGTGCTCAGCCATCTGCGAGCTGGTGGTCCAGGCAAGCCTCTCAAGGTCAGGGCCAGGGCTAAGAACGAGACCCTGCCCGGGGCTGCCTGGGGCACAGGGTCCTCCTCAGGGAGGCAGGAGGGTCCACGTCAGAGGAGAGGGGGCAATGGCAGGGTGAGGGGTGGGCTCTGAGGCCCTGAGCCCAGGAACACGGGTGGCCCCAGAGGCTGGAGGGGCTGAGGGACCCGGTGATCATGCAGCCCCTTGGCATCCAGCTTCCTGCCCCACGTCATCCTGACTGCAGGTCCCGTGAGGCCAGCACCCTGGCCCAGGGACAGGACGGAGTGACCGCCCTGGGCAGGACGAGCCACGAGCCTGCAGGGCCTTAGCGGGCAGGCGGGGGCTGCAGCAGAGCAGGGCCAGGGGTCGGCCAAGGTCACTGCTGTGTGCCAGCTGCCAGGCGGCTCTTGGGTTTGGGGAAAGAGAAGCCAACAGATTTTTCTGACCATTGCTTTTTTTCAGAAGTCAAGGAGACACAGAAAAAATCCAAAACAATTTGTGCAGATAAAACAACAGCCCGTTCCTAAACCAGACACTCTGCTCTCACGAACCCACACAGCCAGCCGCTGCAGGGGCACCTGGGGGACCTCACAGACCCCAGGGAGCCAGGCGTGCAGCGCCGGAGACAGCCCAGATGGTCCACACCAGCAAGGAGAGCTGGTCTGGATGGGGTACAAAGGGTGGCAGGGCCGGCAGAGCCAGACGCAGCCCCAAAACGCCCCTGCCTAGGCCCTGGGAAGCTGTGGTGCCCGGCGAGGCCCTCTGGACCAGGGGCCCAGGCAGCAGCCTCACTCTGAAGGGGTGTGAGGTGGCCTCCTGAGCCGCACGCTTCCCGTGCCCAGGGTGCTGGTACAGGCGCTCAGCAAGGCAGCTCCAACCAGCAAGAAACACCACAGCCCAGGACTGACAGGGAGCCACGGGCCCAGGAGATTTATTAAACATCCAAGCGTAATTTCCCATTAACATTTCCTATTTTGGCATCTTAAAGAGAGTGGAACTTGATTTTGGTTCAACATCCTGTGGGGAAATTAGTTCATTTTGCTAAAGTATCTTAATAATTACAGTGACATCAAGGTTAATTGCTTAATCTGGATTGCCATGGTGCCGGCCGCCAAACTCCCCATGCAATCTGTGCTATAATTAGTGCCAGGGCATCTGCTTTTAGAAGCCGTTTTCCCCAGAACAGCAGAATCCGGCAAGGTGATCGATGGGTGTGGTGAAGAGGACACACAGAGCCAGGTCCCCACCGGACCTGGAGGCGGTCAGCCCGCAGCGAGGGATGGGCCAGGCTGCCCCCCTGCACGGCTGCCAGGGAGGAGAGGTGGGCGCACCTCTCCTGGCCCCTGGCGCCCCCTGTGCCAACAGCCTGAGGACCCCCAGTGACCATGACCGCTGTCTGGGCCACAAGGACCAAGAGGCCATGCGTGACAATGAAGCCCCAAGACTGTCCCAGGATCCACAGCAGAAACACGGTCTGGAAGGGCTCACCAAGACGAGGCGGGAGGGGGCGGCCCCCAGCCACCAGGCCCCCACCCCGGGCACAGGCATCCCCCCGGGCTTTGGCAGGAATGGAGCCCCGTGGAGCACGCCGCCCTCGGCCCTCAGCCCAGACACATATCATGAGAGAGAGAAAAGTCGTCGGCTTCCCAGTGACACAAGCACGGGTACGTCCAGTGTACTGGGGTCTCCTGGTGCGAACTGGCCACGTGGGGCGGAGTAGGCCTTGGGGGTGCACCAGTGCCCTCCCCCGGCTCCTGGGTGTGACACCGGCGAGTCCCTCGGGTGACCCAGGCCTCATGTCCTGTCCTGCAAGCTGAGCGGCAGCTCCGGGCCACGCCGGCCCACGCCCCCAGCCCAGCACAGCACAGCCCCTGCCACCCTAGCAGCTCCCACTCGGCCGCACAGCCTGGGGCCCCGCAAACCCACCTGCCCACAAGCCCAGTCAGGTTTTTGTAAAATATGGTCATACTTTCCTCACTGCTTGAAACGAAGTAAACACTGGAGTCGGCTTCAGGTGCAGCTGCCCGTGGACGCCAGGGCTGCCTCCCGCAGGCTACAGCCATGAGCACTCCCGTAGGAGGCCTCCGCTGGCAGGACCCTGTCCCTCTACAGGTCCCAGGAGACACGCTGTCCCCAGCTGTGAAGGCGCCGGTCACGCTAGCTGGCCCCAAGAGCCTGCAGGGTGGGCACCGCGTACCACCCCCGCAGGGGCCCCTCACCGGCACCCTCCTAAGGAACGAAGCCCCTCCCGGCCCTCGCCCCACCCCTGACCCGCAGGGGAGCCCCCATGCGGCCACACCCCTGTGCTGTCTGATTTGGTTTGAAAGGTCCTGCAAATAGACTGACGCCACACACTCCCCATGCAGGTGGCCGTGTGCCTCTGATGGCGGTTGGAGCAGCCACAGTCTCTCAAGGTCACGGCCTGTGTCATCGCGTTGTGGGGCCACAGTGCAGGGCCTGGTCCGTCTTCTGGGCCGTGGACGCCGGGGCCGCCTCCCGTGGGCCACAGCCATGAGCGCTCCCATTCACGGTGCCCATGGGCACATCCCAGGTGGAGCTGGGGGCAGGAGTGGGGCTGAACCCCAGTCTTACTGGACAACGGTAGCACGTTCCCAGGACAGCTGCATCCACATGTGTCCATCAGTGGGGAACTCCACTCACATCCTCCCTGCGCTGGTGAGGGAACCCGTCACAGAAGGCTGACCCCCACCTCCTTGGTGACCCAGGGTGGCAGGCGGGGTCCTGGCGCATCCCCTCCTCTCCCTGTGCTGTCAGACTCCTCACACCTCCCCACCAGGAGTTCACTGGGCCACTTGTCTTTCCCTTACTAATTTTAGGAGATGTGAATCTATTTTGGAGACCACAGTGACTTGAACCTAAGTGAGAGCCACCTGGTCAAGCCCGGACAGCTCACAGAGCCACGGAGAGGGTGGCAGCCATGGAGAGGGTGCCTTAGCGTGGCGCCGCACCTGTCTGTGTGTGTGCACAGATACACAGGTGTGCGCTGCTTGCACAAGTATCTTCCCCAGCTTTTGACTGAAATGTCATTCTCCTGATCTGTTTTGGGTGAACTCACTTCTCAGTCCCACAGAGTGAATTTCATCCGTTATGTTCTCTCATTGCTTGCTGTTTGTGTTCTATGCAAAAAACCCATCACTACCTCAAAGACATAAAAATGTTCTATGTTTTATTTTTATAATTTTGATTTCACTGAATTTCTTAATCCCGTGGCATTTATTTGGTGTGTGGTGTGAGGTGTGAGGTAGGGATCCGGCTGGATTTTCTCCTTAGAGACGATCGATCATGTCAGAGCCGCCCACTGGCTCTCTCCGCCCCGCTGGGTGATGGTGAGGCGGGAGGATCGTGTCCTCTGTCCTGTACTGTTTCAAATTTCTGGCTCTTTCTATGTCCAGTATTTTCTTCTCATTTCTTGCCTTTTTTTGATTAACTGAACATTTTTCCCTGTTCATGTTTTTTTTCCATGCTTTGAATCTGAATTTAAACACCTTCTTTAGAGTTTTTACACGGTGGTTCTATAAATGTTAACATGTACATTTAACAAAGTAAATTTTCATTTGGCATCTTTGTCAAATCCCTGCACAAAACAAGATCTGAGAATGGCTAGATTCCAAGCACCACCTTCCTGATGTAATTCTATTTCTGTTTGGTATTTAGGTCAATCTCTTTTCCAGGTCCCACAGATCAGACATTCTTTTACGGCGCTATGACGTGGATGTTTGTTTACAATGTGCTTAGCTAAAGATGCTTGTTCCACGGCCAGTTTTCCCCTTTCTAAGTACATCTTTGAGAAATTCCTCTAAGGAGGGTCTCAGTTTTAAATAAACTTGCACTTTAATTGCAGGGTCACATTCACACGCTGAAGCGTGTGCTCATAAATGTGCACCCCAGCGAGCTCTGTCGGTGAAAACAGCCAGAACCATCCCTCAGGTGAGGAAGCCCCGCGGGGCACCCGCCATCCCTCGTTCAAGTCGCTGGCCCTCCCTCCCCCCAGAGATGGCCACTATTACGGGTCTATTCCTCTAAAGTGCCTCTGACTCTCCTAGCATTTCATATAAATGGGATCACATGGCATGCAGGTTTTGTGTCTGCATTAAGCTCCACATTAACTGGGACTTTGAGATTCGCTGTTTATGGCACTATTACATTTATTTTCACTTTTTAATCGTAATTCATTCTGTGAATACATAAAAACCTGTTTATCCATTCTACCATTCACGGACATTGGGCAGGGTCCAGTTTGGGTTTATTAGAAATAATGCTGTTGATAATATTTTTGGGTAGTTTTTGGTGTTTTCCTTTTGGGTGCAAGCGTGGGACAGAACCACCCGGCAGTGCACAGGTACGCATCCACAGGCATGTCTGAGCTTTGGTCCACATAGTTTCCAAATCGTCCCACCTGTTAACTCTCCCACCAGCACTGGGCGCAGAAGAGTTCTAGGTGCCCCAGACGCTCGCCAACCCTTCACAGTGCCGTTCTCTTCAACTGTGGCCCTTCTGGCGGTATGGATCCTGTATGATGCTCATCTGCATGCACCGAATGACTCACGCGGTTAAGTTTTCGTATGTTACTGACCACTTTGAGTATGGACAGCAACTTGTTTGAGATGCCTGCTCACGCTTCAGCCCTTGTTTATGTTATTATTAGGTAGACTGATTTTTTTTTCTCATTGATTGAAAAAAGTTCTTTGAATATTCTAGAAACCCATCTTTAGTTGTATCTTTTGAACACATCATCTCCTATTTTGTGACTTTTGTCATCCTCTCAAAGGTGTCTTTTGTTGGACAGAAGTTCCTAATCTTATTAAAGACAAATTCATGAATCTTTTACTTTATGTTTTGAGGTTTTTTTGTGTTTAAGAAATCTTTGCTTGCCTTAAATTTATGAAGCTATTTTCCTATTTTATACACAAAAATCTGTACTGATTTACCATTCACAAAGTGAATCTCATATATGCTATAAAGTTAGGTCAAGACAAAGATGTTTTCCATTGGGACATCCATTCCATCCAGCACTTTATATAAAATGCCACATTAATTTTTCTGATGTTATTTGGTGCCCATCTCCCTCTCTTTTCATAAAAATCAAGTACCCATGTACGTGTGCCTCTATCTGGGCACTCTGTTGTGCTCCAAGTCTAGCTGTCTACCTTTTATCTCTATGTTGATGACTGCAACTATATAATAAGTGTGATATCACATAACCTCCAACTTCGTTCTTTATCTTCAAAGCTTTCTGCATATTCTTAGTCATTTACATATCAAATACATCTTATAATCAATTGCTAATTTCCATAAAAATATTACAGTGGAATTTTAACTGGAATTGTTTTGAATCTATAGGTCACTTTGTCTACAGATCTATACATAAGTGTATTTAGTCTTCCAGCTGCATATTAAAATGCTATAATAATAATCTTTTGTAGTATTCATTGTAAAGATCTTGCACATATTTCATGATATTATGTACTTGAATTTTTGTATTGTAAATGATACCAGTTTCAAAATTTCATTTTCTCATTTTTTGTTGCTGGTATATTAAAATGTAGTTAATTTTGCACTATCACTACTGACACTGTGTATCTAACAAACTTGATGATTTTAGACAGTCTACACGTGAAATCATGCTGTCTGCTAGTAACAATGGTTTCATTTCTTCTCTCCATTCCTTATTCTATTATTCATCCGTATGTTATCCAGTTATTGTTTATTTATTCATTTGTTCATTCAAACTCTTCCCGGGAACAGCTGTGTCATTTATTCTGCATTTCCACCAGCATGACAAGCCCTCCAACTGCTCCGCATTTCCACCTGGACTGTCATGTCCAGTACTGTCACTTTACCCATTCTCAGGGTAAGCAATGGCAGGCACGGTGTGGTAGTTCTGACCTGTACTTCTCCAGCTGAGCATTTCCCCACATGCCTACTTCCCATCCATATATCTTCCTTGACAAAGTTTCTGTTCAAATCCTTTGCCCACTTTTACTTGGCTTGTTTACTTTCTAACTGTTGAGTTTTGCAAACCACCCATTTATTCTGATTACAAGCTCTTCCTCAGATATGTGACTTCCACGCATGTTTACACTTTCAGGTTTTCAAAGGTGGCTTTAGAAGAATAGATGTTCTTAATCTAGATGCAGTCCATTACCACTTTTCTTCTTTTCTGGGTCATGCTTTTGGTGCTGTACCTAAGAGATATTTGCCTACCTTCAAGTCACAAAAATTTTATGCACTGTTTTAAGCAGAGGTTTATAACTTATGATTTTATATTTAGGAACAGGAACCTCTGGAGTTAATTTTTGCGTATGGTGTAAGATACGGGTTGAGGCTGGTTATTTTGCATGTGGACATTCAATATTATTAGCATCATTTGTGGAAAAAAATTATCTTTTTCCATTGAATTGCCACTGCACCTTTGCAAATAATCAACCTATCCTGTAATTTTGATTCTATAAATTGACTCTCTGTTCAGGCCAGTCGATCTGCATGTCTGTTCTTTCACCAACACCACAGTATCTATGGTTTTAATGAAAATTTTGGAAACAAAAGATTTGCCTCCCTACACATTATTTTTCTTTCCCCAAATTATTCTGCCTGTTCGTTCCCTCAGGTTTCTATATTTCAGAATCAGCTTGCTTCCATAATAACTGGGATCGTGGTTGGGATGTTGTTGAATACAGAGATAAGTCTCAGGAGGTTGATGTCTTAACAAGATTGAGTCTTTGAATTCATTAACATGGTATGCCTTTTCATTTTTTCATGTCGATTTTTTCCTCTGTATTTTGTAGTTTTCCTCTTATAGATCCTGCACATATTTTTTTAGATTTATAAAGGCTATCTCTTTTTTATGCTGTTGTAATAGTAAGCAGATGTTTAAAATTTTGATTTCCAATTGTTAATACATAGGAATACAAATGGGTTTTCTTGTAAACTGGCCTTCTACTCTGCAGCCTTGTCTAATTCACTTGTCTAGGGCCAATGACATCTAAGAATGTGACAAGTTATTCTTCCCTTTCCAACATGTGTGTTTTTTATTCCCCTTCATGGCAGTATCGCACTGGCTGGGATTTCCGGTAGGATGCTGAGCAGTCGTGGTGAGAGAAGGCCGACCGCCTTGCTTGCAGTCTTGAGAGGGAGTATTTATTCCAGGTTAAATGAGGCACAGGGTGGGGCCTTGGTGCAACAGGACTGGTCCTTGTAGGAAGAGGAGAGACCCCAGACGGCTGCCTCCCTCCCCTTCCCCCTCGCCCCCCATGCGCGCACAGAGAAACGGCCATGGAGCACACAGTCTGCAACATCCAGTCATGACAATGTCCTTTATCAGTTTAAGGTAATTTTTTTCTATTCCTATTTTGCTGAGTTCTTTTTAATTATGAATGATATTGAATTCTGTCGATTGCTTTTTCTGCATTGTTGAGACACTCATGTGCTTTTAGGTATGGCCATGTTGAACCAGCCTTGAGTTCCCAGGGAATGTGCACACGCGCCAGAGCGGGGCGGCCAGTGTCCCAGGGCACCAGCTCCACCAGCTCCACCTGCTCCTCTCGCTCTCCCATGACTCCCCCTCGGCCGCCCCAAGGAAGCTCACCTGGGGTGGGGGAGGGGGGAGGGAAACTGCCCTTCCATTGTTTTCTGTGTCCTTTCCTACCGTGTAATTCACTCTAGTTCTGACATTCCACACAGACTTCCCTCTGACCCAGAAAGAAGTCCCCTCCTCTTTCAGATACCCGGTCTCGGGAAATCACAGCACTTTGGCTTTCAGACTATTGTCCCAGCTTTGACTCAAGACCTTTGACTTTGAAAGTCAGTGACTTTCCTCTGACTGCCCTCTCTTCCCTCCTCGGGGACAGTGTTTGGGACAGTGTGAGGGAACAATGCACACTGAGGGGAGGCGCCTTCCAGGGAGGGTTGTTGGGCACAATGGAATACAAAACGGGACATTTTCAGGGTCTCCCAACACCCACTGCACCTCTCTCCACCCAGGATGGCTGTTGGCAGCCCAAAGGCACCCACCCATCCATCCATCCACCCACCCATCCATCTATCCATCCACCCATCCACCCATTCATCCATCCACCCATCCATTCATCCATCCATCCATCCACCCATCCACCCATCCATCCATCCATCCATCCATCCACCTACTCACCCATCCATTCATCCATCCATCCATCCACCCATCCACCCATCCA